AGGGTTTAGAGTTTCGGGTTTCGGGCAGTCGGCTCCTGGCCAAGGCCAGCATTGGTTTCGACGTTTAAAGTACCGGACTTCCAGCTCGCCAACTGAGCAATACTGTAGGGTTTAAGGGTTTAGGGTTTAGGGTTTAGGGAGGGGCCTTGCAAATTTAAACAAGGTTTTGGGGTATATAGGGGCCTTGGGGTTTCGGGTTTAGGCTTTAGGCCATAACAATTAGCATAGGGTTTTGAGGCCCATTATACTATAAATATAATAAGGCAAGGTTTTGGTGTATATCACAGTTTAACTCAGTATGACTATATTAGGGAAAGCCAAGGGAGTGGGAACTACTCAGGCGTCTATACTATTCCTTACCTCACAGTGGGATCCTTAATAGCGTGACCTTGGTTTAAATCGTTCTCGTGGAGTCTGCCATTTTCCGACTGGGCGATGTTCTGCAGTAGCAGGCGGCCTCTTGCCAATCATATTTCATGCGTCGTCTGGGCCATGCGAGGTCAGTTGTATGGCTGTGAACAGACCATGCCGGTCACTGCTTCGGCTCGGCATGGCTCAACATCACATCACTTCAGGGTTGAGGGCTTTATGGCTCAGGATTTAGGGAGGGTCGCTCCTTCAAGAACCAAGCCCAAGAACAGCTCAAACTCTTCTCTACAGACAAGATACAGAGCCCCTTATAGTCATAAAGCTGGCCCACGATGTGTAAGGTGTAACCCCGTGCAGCCGTCCTGATCCCAGATCCGGAGCTTGCCATCAGCTCCTCTCCCCGGTTGGAGATGGGGGTTTCTGAAAATAGGGGACCCTAATATAGTACCCTAAATAATAGGATCCTTAATATAAGGACCCCAGAATACAGTACCCCTAACTTTCGGAAACTCCCAGATGTGTCTATGGTTTGGGGCTGAAAACATGCATCCACCACAGTAGCTAGTTCAGTAAGCCGTGTTTCCTCAACCCATGTTGTCCGGGCTTTCTCAGAGCACCCGACTATCCTTGACTAAGGAAGAAAGATACCCTGAACTATAAGAGCTTCTCATGATGCGTAATCTTAGGCATATTCCGTAGTATTAAATGCGGGTCGTTGGCTCCCAAGCAGGATCACGACCCATAGCGCGATCTATCCACGTTACAGCCCGAAGCGTCCGGAGCCTGAAGAACTCCTCAACCCCCTTCCCAAACAGCCCAAGAATAGAAAGAAACCTGCAATACTTTCAGCTATATATATATATCTATATATATATATATGTATATCTTTATCGACATTGTTATACACATATATACATAGACTACAAATGTAGAAGTTGATTGCAAAACAAACGCATAATGAACAAGTGAATAAATATACACCAAAACACATAATAAATAAATATGTGTGCGTATACATATATATATATATATACACACATGTGTAAGTATAGTTTCCCGAATCAAAAAGTGTCGGGCCCCCCGTAGCCGTAAATCCGCAAACCCCCCATGGTTTGTCGGGCGTGGTCTCGAAACCCCAAGCGCTAAACCCTGAACCCTAAACCTAAACCCTAAACCCAAGGAGTTTAGAGCAAGCCAAAACCTTCGCCCACTGCTCTGCTTTGAACTCCGGGCTTTAGGGTTCACGGGTTTACGGTTTAGGGTTCGGGACTGAAGGCCTGAGGAATTAGAGTTTAGGGTTTAGGGTTTAGGGGTTTAGGGGTTTAGGGTTTAGGGTTTAGGGGTTTAGGGTTTAGGGTTTAGGGTTTAGGGTAGTGTAGGGGCCCTAACAATTAGAATAGCGTTTAGGGTTTAGGGTTTCGGGTTTAGGGGCCTTACTAAATAGAATAGGGTTTGGGGGACCATTGTAGTATAATTAGAATAGGGAACCCCCCAAACCCTAGTCTAAATATTACGGCTCCTATAGTACAGGTGTGGTTTAGGTCTTGGGGTTAAGAGCGGCAGGGCTTCAGGTTGTCGTGTTCCGGCGCTTAGGAACAACTCAAGGCGAGAACGTGGGATCCACCGATGCGCCGGAAAGCAGGAATGAAGCTTTTGGGGTTCCTTAACTATTCCTAAAACCATCTAACACCTGAACTGCCGAGAAATAGATAGAGACACCTTCTGGATCCTAAGCTTTGGAGAGGAGCCTTCTGACTCGGGATGCGCTTATAACTCGCTGGATTCAGAGTCGGAGGCTTGTTTTGGGCGCTAACTGAGAGGACGACCCTAATGTAGGGGCCTTCATAGTTGTAACAGGGTCTTGAGGCATACTCTACTGTAATTATAATAGAAGGAACCCCCGGCCAAAATAGCATAGGTAGTACTCTAGGCTTCTATAATAGCGCTTTGGGCTTGTAACCGTAAAGACATCGCGGCTGCCGCAGGTTTTCACAAGTTTACGCCAGAATAGGGAACGCCGGGCTTGGAATGAACTTGGACCAACCCCCAAACGCAAGTATGACGGGCTCAACACCCTAACATGATGGAATGCCAGCTTTCAAAAGCAAGTGTGATCATGAGCTTCTTCATAGCAAGACGAAAGCGGAAGCTTGACTGTGACCAGAAAACCCTAAACTCTAAACGCAAGGCTTTGATGCCGGAAGTCCTCCTGCAAGGAGCATGTTCGGAAACCTGGCAACACGGGAGTGCTTTGTTGGGCGACCTTGTAAGAGAGGTCTTCTATTTATGGGTCATGTTATAGCCCCTTGGTGTACGATCTCCCATGTAGGGACCTGGCCAGACTTCGTAAACCCTAAACCCTAAACCCCTCGGGCTTGTGGGGAGTTCCGAAAATAGGTGACCCTAATATAGTACCCTAAATAACAGGATCCCTATTGTAAGGACCCCCAAATAAGGTACCCTAACTTTCTGACACTCCCTTATTTCATCAAAAAGGAGTACTGCCCAGGCTGACAGTCCCCCTCGTAAGGTTCCAAGGTCCGCTCCGCGAGAAACTCCTTCATCCCCGACCTTGAACTACCATGACTGACTTTTAAAGAAAGGCCATTTTACGTAGGTTCTTCTTATAAGCCCGAAAGCAGCATTTCTAGGAACCCCAAAAAGAGAAGGTTATGGATATATATATATATATGTATGTATGTATATATATATATATATGTCACTATATATACCTACACGCACATACACACACTCATATGTATATATATATATATAATATGTATGTATACATACACATATATGCGTATGTGTATTATACATATGTACACACATATGCGGCATATATGTGTGTATATACAAAGATACAACATTATACATACGTTTTTTGCTATTTTGTCGTTGTTTCGTTTTGTTTTGAGGGCTCGTTTCCGACTGTGGGCACACATAAAAGTTTAGGGTCGAGGGTGTAGTCAACCGCGGATTCGAAGAAACGAGGACACACCAGCGGTGTAGGCTGGGAACATTAAACCATGGTAGACAAACTCCTTTCCTAGTCAAAGTACAGTGTAAACCAGGGGATATGGGTAGTTCTCCAAAATAGGGTCCCTTTGGGGGTCCTTTTCATAAGGGTGCCGTACTATATTGGGGACCCAAAAAGGTACCCTAACTTTCGGAAACTCCAAAAGGGACTCTCTGAGTATTGCATATGCCTTACTGCACGGATCCATCCCGCACCTCTCTCCACCCAGGCCGAGGCAGGTATTCGGCACCTGGGAACAAGATGACCAGCTGAAGTCTAACACGCTAAGCCCTAAACTCCAAAAAACCCTTAACCCTAAACTCCAAAAAACCCTTAACCCTAAACTCCAAAAAACCCGAAACCCAAAACTCCCAAACCTCAAGGCCAGTGCAAGGTAAGAGCTCCAAGGATATAGCTGTGGTATGCGGGGCAGGTGGCAGTCTAGGGGCTAAAGTGACGGCGGCTTACCCTTTTTGAGGTTGAGGGTTTAGGGTTTATAGGGTTATAGGGTTTATAGGGTTTAGGGTTTAGGGTTTATAGGGTTTAGGGGTTTAGGATTTAGGGTTTAGGTTCCCTAGCTTAAATCCAGGAAAAATCAGGATCAGGATCAAGAAGGTTGACCCAGGTGCCGGGAAAGGCTAGCTGCATCGACACTGAATGAATACAGGAATTTTGGGGTCTAAGCGTTTTTTTTGGTCACCTCTTTTCCACCTGCCTGGTTAAGTTAGGTCGAATGCCAGGGCTTAAGCTTTAGGTTCTAGGGCTTTGTCGGCTTTGTTTTTTGTCTCAATTCTCTTGCATGCTGCAGTGAGGACAGGCGGCTTACAGTCTCTTACCATTAGGCTGTTCGTGCCTTTCACACACCTCCTCAGTTAAAACAACTTAAACCCCAAACCCTGAAAACGGCAGTTGCTGGGTTTGAGGTTCAGACTTCCGTGTCTTCACGTGCCAGGGTAGTGTTGTAAGGAGTAATAGAACTCGAATATTTACCCAGCTTCTGAGAGTCCGTGAACATGGCTTACTGTTAGGTTGACTCCAAATGCGTCGTAGGTATTATGTATCCAAGCTTGTCTCACTTATGGAGACCCCGTTTTCTCAATCAAGCCGTATTGGGCTACAGTCTTTCAAACTAAAGCAAGGTTTTTGTTGAAGGGAAGTTGAAATCTCTACATGGACGGCTTCCGGATTTTAGGAAAAAGCAGCGGGGCCCAAAGTATTTAAGTATGTCACAACATGTTTCGCTGTATTATGTCCTTTAAAGGATATATTGGGTCATGCTATGCTGTATACTGTTTCTTGCATCCTGAGTTGAAGCTAAGTTGAAGAGCCCCGGACAGTTTATCTTATAGTTCTAGAATACAGAGGGATAGTACTACTTGCAAGAAGTGTAAAATCCACTAAGTCAGCTACACAAGACACTAGGGGAACGCCCAGCAAAGCTCAGTGAGCGGCTCCGTTGCCGCAACTGCGTGGTGGTGGAAGGGCACGCTCTCGCACCTGCAGCTGAAAGGTCCATGGCTTTCAAAATTGAAGGGATCCCTTCGAGGCGGGTGCTTGATTATGCACTGTGTAGGCCACAGAATCTACGGCAGATCTATGTTTCGGATATGTATAATGGAGTGTATCTTAAAATGCTTTATACACATAGCAAATATAGCTGTAGCTTTAGCTGTCAAGGTTGCGTTTCATTACATAGGCGTGGCCGCACCTGCTCCTGCGCGAGGTCGAAGAGGATGATGGCAGAATCCTGCAACAAGTGGTTCTGCAGCTGCTCTGTTTACTCGGAACCAGTTGTTATCACAAGCTGAATAATGATGACACACATCCTTCGTGACGTCGTTGCTATTGTTGTTGTTGTTGCCACGAGCCAAGGACGAGAGACTCCAAAGACGAGAAACCCGGTACAGTATGGTCCAACGGCAGGATCCGAAACGACCGAAACCCTAAACCCTAAACGAGGATCCTTTGACTACAACACCTGGACATGAACAGAAAGGGGCCTCAGCGGAAGACCCTGCTAGCAAGCCAAATAAGGCCTTTAAAAAAAACGTGACGGTCGTCAGAGTCACAGTACCGCGAACCAAACCCTACACCCTAAACCTGAAACCCTAAACCCTAAACCTTAAACCTTAAACCCTAAACCCTAAACCCTAAACCCTACACCCTAAAACCCCAAACCCTTCAACCCAAACCCAAAACCCTAAGACCCTAAATCCTACACCCTGAACTGAAAAGATGTAGCGACGTCTCCTCTCCAGTTGTGACGAAGCACTGCCTCCAAGGGATACCAGTACGAGTTAGGATGGGGGACTGCTATAAAGGGCTCCTATGCAGATTCCCGGGGGTTTAGCTTTCAGAGACTGGTGGGGTTGGGGGTTTAGGGCTTTGAACCCTAAACCCTAACCCTAAACCCTAAACCGTGGCTTTAGGGTTGAGGTAACCTCTCACGGAACCTTTGAGGATGTAGACCCTCTCAATAAGCTCGCTCTCAAGAGAGAGCCAAAAGTAGGGTCAAGAAGGGTCCCTTTAAGGGGTCTCATGGGTCTCCCTAATACTACCTAGGGAGGGAGAGCATGATGTCACTCAAGAGAAGCTACGGGATTCAAGGGCTTAGGGTTTCGGATTGGGATTTAGGATTGAAGCCCGAGTTTGCGGCTCAGGGTTTGGTAGGGTTTAGGATTTGGGATGACTTTGGGGTTTGGGGTTTAGGAATTAAATGATGACTCACCGGTCTAACACGTGCGAACACTACTCTAAGTCTAAAGTCCCTAGACTTTGCTGAAATCCACATCCGCACAAACCGCTGCAATCCCCATTTCGGAACCTGAGTAAGAAACGCTGGATCTTTATTCGATTTTTCGGAAAAAGGGCCAGAGCTTCTTCATCAGGTTCCTGCATTACATCATTCGCTAGCAGCTTCCTCAAACCCTAAACCCTAAATCCTCAAACCCTAAACTTTAAACCCCAAATCCACAAACCCTAGACCCTAACGCTGCCCTTGGCCGCCTTGGACCTAACTCCCAACCCCGAAACCCAAAGCTTCGAAACCTTAGCCCTAAACCCTATAACCCTAAACCCTCATGTAGGGGCCTTAATA